CCTTGAAACTGAGCTGAAGATGAGAACATAACTTAAAAATAAGCTTGATTTAGTTACTGTTGAAAGAGACCAGCTTTTACAGAAAGTCAAAGACTTTTCTTGTGCACAAAGCTCAATTGGTTCTCCATCACAGTGTAAAACTAGCTTCTATGACTGTTCTAAATCGAACAGTCATTCAAGCAGCCCTAAATCTACTGTTTCTATGAACTATTCTCGTTCTTCTAATCAGTATTATCAAGGGTATGTTATCAGATCACCCAATAAATTTTCTAAGACTAAAAGCATTTGGGTTAATAAAGTTGATTCTGTTTTATCTCATACACCTGTTGTTACTAACTCTGTTCTTCCTTGCATTGTGAGATCCACTAATGATCTGATCAATCTTAGCAAGAGAAGAATTATGTGCTCAACATGCAGAACCAATGATTTTGTCAATAAGAAAAGGTTCAACAGGTGGCATAGACATAACAGCTATCAGAACAGTTGGAAAGGCAAGAACAGGTATGATCACAATAACTGTTATGGGTCATACTCTATTTATGATCATCCTGTTCAAAGTGCTAAAAAGAATATATCTAATAGGAATAGATGGTTTGGAAGTTACAACATACCCCAACCCGATACTAACAAAATAGGACCCAAATTCATTTGGGTACCAAAATCTACTTAATCTAGTTTTGCAGGTGTGTCAATTTTGTGCTAATCAGAATATCATATCAGTGATACACCAATGCAGGGGGAGTTGTAATCTGTTCCACGGAGGCTTTTGAACAATTCAGTTTAGGACCCGTGCTAAACATGTTTTCTTATTTTTTTTAATTTTTTGAGCTGAATCGAATCATTTCTATAATCTACTTTCTAGGGGGAGTCTCTAGAAAGTTCAATAAATGTTTTTCGGAAAATGAATTTTTTTTAAGGAAACGAGTACATTTTCTGAACAGGTATTTCCTGAGATTTTACTTGCGTAATTTCTCATCGTACATAACTCCAATACCTGTTTCAGCTATTCTTCATACGGTTATTATCACGTCACTTATATATAAATCATTTTCGATGATAATAAACTCGTTTGTATTCAAATGTTGATTTTTCTGATTTTTTTCTTGATTGATATATATTTCATTTTTTTAATCAGAATTTGTAAACTTGTTCTTACAGATCTTCATTCATTTCTCTCGCATATCGAATAATCTGATCGTTGTCGCATCATTCCTTTATTGATTGTGCTTAAAAGACAAATTTCTTGTTCAATTTTTATTTGATCATTATGCTTATCTGGAATAATATTTTTGATCAATTGTTTGTGATCAACTGTGCATAATGCTAAATTTTAGAAGGGACTGAGTGCTTATCAGAAATACCTCAATGGAATGTCAGAACCGACAAACCTACCCATGAGGACAACCATATCTGAGTGAGCTTTATATACAAAAGGGTTTGTGTGCTGAGACTAAAATGAAAATGAGAGGGGTAGTTGTTTTGAGCTAAAAGAATTGATGAGAGTTGTGTCAGGATTAAAAGAATACGAGAATCCTATTCCAAACTTCTAAAATCCGGGCATACCATACAATCTATTAGTTCTCAATTCTTTCGAGACTAATATTGAAAAADKYAAARCCCAGGCCAATTCTTGTCACAACCCCACCAGCTACTCATTTATCTCTCAACAGATAAGTGTTTCAATAACACTTGGGGCACACATCTCATCATCTATCAATTTCTCATTCAGAGAAAGTTGATATTGAAATCAGAAGGATATATGTCCCCCCTTTAAGTCTTTTTGATCACTAATTGAGTCTGATAAATTTGTGTAGTCCACACGGTTTATATTTTTGAGCCTAAACAAAAGCATTAGTTGCTTTATCTTTCTACACTACACAGATTGTATTTTATATGTTACTTTGCCAAAACATTCATAGATATGCTATTATTAAGCTATCAATGATTGAATGGAAGACCTGGTGAGATGAGCATCAAAAAGTCTCATATATACAGTACATCCGTTGTACTGAGTATATCTGTTATACTCACAGACCAATCTTTTTATAAGATTGAAAACAATTTCATTAGTTGAAATTGGTTGTTATATTCTCATTCCCTTAATATGAAAAAATTAAATAAGTGGATTTGAAAAGATCTACTTACAATTTTATGAATTGCGGCTTACGCGGAGGATTTCATTCATTCTTGTGTATGATGGAATGATTCTCATTTCATCATAAGGGGGAGTATGTAATGATGAATGAAATATCCAATTCCGAACATTATAAGGGGAATTTGATGTAAAGATCAAGGGGGAGTAACTTCAAAGATGGCAAAAGACTCAAAAGAAGTGTGACTGGAGATGATTGCAAAAGATTATTCCTGTGCTAAAATGTCTGAGAGTTTTTGTTAGCTTCATTATTCATCTCTTGTAAAAAGTATAGAAAAAGTATTCTGCAAGTCTTGACAGAAG